GCTGTTACTGCTTATAACAATGATCACTGTTATAAGCAATTATTAACTACCACAAATGACTTTCCATTCAGAACAGCTTGCTTTCTGTTGACATGCTATGATTGGCTACAGCTAATCACCAGAGGCTGAGTGTCAGGTACCATGTGATAGCTGTGGGCCAATCACAGCTTCACAACACTAAGCAAGCAGTCATGTATGGAAACCATTCATGACTGTTTTGTTCACATTGTAATCATGTGATCACTATGATTGATACCCCAGCTAGTCACAGGATCAGGGAGCACTAGAGGACATGTGCCAGGCAACATACCCTTGTGTCCCTGTGCTGATCACACACAGTAAAAATATTGTGGGTGAACAGCAAGTTGATTAAAAAAAAAAAAAAAAAGTACCCAAATCTAATTCCTCTTTGAGGGTAGAGTTCACACCAGTGCAATGCGATTTTGTACTGCGGCTGCAGTGCGACATGGTTAGTTTCTGATACCTTTTTTGTTTTTACATACTTACTGCGACTCATGAGTCACCGGTTGTTAAGGTTCCAGTATGCGACTGCATCCTAAAAACAAGTGTGGGGTCCCCCTCAAAATTCACACCAAACCCTCATCCAAGTATGCAGCCTGGCAGGGCAGGAAAAGGAAGGGGGGGGTTGAACAAGCGAACAGCACCCTCCGCCAAAGCATCTTGTACCCATGTTGATGAGGACAAGGGTCTCTTCCCCACAACCCTGGTCCTTTGGTAGTGAGGGTACGGAATATGGAAGCCCCTCATGTAAATGAGTATGGGGCACATAGTACCCCTACTCATTTACTAAAAAAAAGCAATAGTAAATTAAAAGCACAAGGCAATTTAAAAAAATAAATAAAAATATCATCCAATGTAAATCTATCAAACACCTGGCTACCCCGCACAGAAAAAAAGCCCAGTAAACAACCGCTGTCGCTTGACACTCACCGAATGTCAGTGCTGCTTCCAGTGATCCTGATGTTATAGGGCGGTGGTTATATGTGACTTCGAGGTCTCTGAGGGCCAGCATGTGCATCATAGGGGGTGGTGACCACAATCCTTTGTTTACTTAGCAGCAGGTGGAAGCAACAACATTGGTCATGTTTGGCGGGGTTTTTTTCCCCTCTGTGTGGGGCAGCCATGTGTTATTATTATACAGGATTTATATAGCGCCAACAGTTTACACAGCGCTTTACAAAACGTGTTCATCATGATTGACAGTTGACTAACATCAGGGGACAGCTTTATGTATACTTTTAAAAAATTTTTGGTGACTGGGTAGGGAGAGCTGGAATCTGATCCGATATGCTATCCTATCACACCCACAACCACCAGGCCAGGGTTGTGGGGAAGAGGCTCTTCTGAACATCAAAGGGACAAAGCGCTCTGCCGAGGAGGTCCCATGTTGAGGGCATGTGGCCTGGTATGGTTTGAGAGGGCGCTCACTCATTCCCCCACCCCCTTTCCTGGTGTGCTGGCAGGTGCCAGCTCCTTAACAACTGATGACTTATCCCTTCTGCTAACAGCAGAGATGAGTCACTGGTTGTTAGAATGCTGGTAGGTGACTGCCCCTAACAACCAGTACAAACTGCACTCAAAAATGCACAATTCTATTCAAGTCTATCGACCACAAAATCTCGCTATTTGCACCAAAGTGACCCTTCCCCAAAGTTGCATTGCTGCTGTGCTGCATTGATATAAATGAGCACCATTGGAAGCAATGTTATTTCCACGGTCATGATTCAGTGAAACCCAAGGTGCATCTAAAATCAATGTGAAACAGGCCTAAATAATATCATTACTGTGCTGCAGCCTTACAACACGAATTGATCTGTGGAACGAAACTGGGCCACCAGTGATGAGAATCAGCAACTCCTGCTGGGGGAGAAACTAGCTGCATGCATACAGTGTGTAAACAGATGTGCCTAGCAGTGGAACAGCCAGATTTATACAAATCAATGTGTCGCCCAAGTCATGCAAGTTTAAAAAAAAAAAAAAAAAAACCTGTTGCCAGTAATTTCACAGCAGCTACAAAAATCCTTTAGATATGGCCATAGATTTCCTGCTCCAACCTATTTGGTCAGTGAGCCAGCCCATCATGATGATGGGATAATACCTGGAAGTAGCAAGAGCTTTGTTTGCTTGTTTGCTAGGGCAGTTTGGTCTAGCTGCTTCAGAGTTTAATGTCCTTCTCTCCTACATTCCTAATATCCCATCACTAGGAGGAGCTGGCTTTTTTCCCCATTTTATAGAGGGTCTTTTAAGCTGGTAATAAACTACTAGATTTTCAAACAAAACGTTCGTATGAACATTGTACAAAATATTTTAGTACATTCGATGACTTGAGGAATGTCATTTGATAGTACTTCAAGATTTTGTTTTCTTTTAACATTAAATTTTTAAAACAAATAAACTTTACTGAATGAAAACCACATATGCTGTTAAACTGGCAATTGACGGATTAAAATTCCACTGGTTCAGCAGGGTCCTAATAAATTTCTATCCACATATGGACAAGCTGGTTTTACTGCAGTCAATCCAATGGATCGACTTCAGTACAACAAGCCTATCCATTTTTTTTTTTTCGTTCAATCACTGCCGGTGGCTATATCAGCTGGCAGTGATCACTGAATTCTGATGGCTGGGAAACCTCCTGCTGTCAGAATACAAAAGCTCAGCAGGAGGGATTCCCCCATAAACACTGAAGGGGTTGATGGGGAAATCAAGCAATTTGTTTTCCTGCAACCACAGGGAAGGGAAAAGAGAAAAGGGGAAAGAAAAAAAGGGGAAGAAAAAGGGGAAAGAAAAAGGGGAAAGAAAAAGGGGAAAGAAAAAGGGGAAAGAAAAAGGGAAAGAAAAAGGGGAAAGAAAAAGGGGAAAGAAAAAGGGGAAAGAAAAAGGGGAAAGAAAAAGGGGAAAGAAAAAGGGGAAAGAAAAAGGGGAAAGAAAAAGGGGAAAGAAAAAGGGGAAAGAAAGGGGGAAAGAAAAGGGGGAAAGAAAAAGGGGAAAAAAGGAAAGAGAAAGGAAAAGAAAAAGAAAGAGAAAGGAAATGAAACTGCATAATGTATGGCCTGCTTCAGGAATGTATTTGTTTGAGAAACATTTTACATCCTGCTCCGTCAAATTTTCTCATCACTATACTTAAAAATGTCAATTTGACCCCATCAACCATTAGAAAATCAAACATCTTAAAACAAATAAATTTAAAATAAAATTATATTACTGTCTGGAAATCTTTGCTCTGAAGTGAACTGTAGTTACCAACTGAATATGCAGTCTTAAATTCTACTATACACGTATTTTATTACATCAGACGGTAAACTGTATTGCCAACAAGAGATCGAGTTTCTATTAATTGAATACACACACAGGTCACACAGTGGAATCATTTTCATAACTTTTATAGCAGCAAACAGTACACTACTTTTTAAAACTTCTAAACACAGGATGTCAAGCTTACTTTGTGCATCCCATAGCATGACAACATACAAGCATCTGTAGTTAAGAAATAAACACTGAGATGCTGCTTTTTAACATGCAAAAGAAAAGAGACTTAAGATGAAATGAAAAACAAAAAATGGACTAGACAAGATTTGGTCCATCAAATTTCATCTCATGACATATTTACCTTATATAAAAGGAGAAAAAAACAAACAGAGGAAAGTGTGAAAAACAGCAAATCAGAGTTTTAAAAGTACAAACTTACTTAAAAATGTTTTAAACGAAAATGAATAGATTATCACCTATTATGATTCTCAGCTAGTATTCTGAAGCTGATACGCAGGGCACAGACTGGTAAAGGTAAACAAGACCCCTAGCTGTAAATGCATTGTATACTGTCCTCCATCTCTCCCCTTCACAGCTCAGAAGGTGGAAATGTCAGTTTTAAAAGGGAGGTAACTTATTTCATTAGTTGCAGCATGTAGTACATGCATGGAGCAATCTTTGAAATGCAGTACACAAAATAAGGAAAAGCTCCAAGCTTTTTGCCAACTAGAAACATTACTTAGACTGATTAGTGATAGGTTAGTGGTAGCCTCATCAATCTGCTGGGAAAAAAAATGGCATCATGAATATTGAAAATCTCCACATAGCAGTTGAAAACACCCTTCCAAGTAGATGGGCTGAAGGAAGAAATGCCAGCACCCATATTTCTATCCTCACTTATTCACCCTAAAGGAAACATTTTTTTTGTTTTGTTTAAAGCTGAATTCCGGGATAAGCAATCATTGTCTAAATAGACAAGGCTTTGTGGTTTTACTTGAATCTTGGCGTGTTTTGTGAATTTCTTCCAGATCTATGCAGTAATCCAGTGTGAAACTTTGAAGGCGCTTCCTAAACAAGGATGCTCTCTCCTTGTTTCAGGGTGACTGGTCTTGCCTCCACCACCAGACAGTCTAAAGTGGGTGGGGCCTGCTGGGCCCCTTCCATTGATCTGCTTTCTGCACAGGCTATGTAAAATAGTTATGTCACCGCTACTTTTGCAACATAATATCCTGTTTTGCAAAGGCATATGATGTACAAAAATAGGATGTCCTTCTTGGCTATTAAGGAATATATTCAAATTAAAATTTAGTGCATGCCTTAAGATATCCATGTTAAAATATTCAGCCTGATAAGCTTTTAAAATACTTGTTGCTATATGTAGGTTGTAATTCTATATAAGATAAGCCATATTTTCACATTACAAATGCAGGTGCTGCTTCCTGCTTAGTAGTTCTGTACAATGGATTTGTATTAATACGCCCCTCAATGCAAACCTTCTATAAGTCTACTGATGTATTGTGCAGATTTCCATTGCAGCAGTTGTCTAAGAAGCTAACCTATTCTATCTAATACAGAAAAAGAAAATGATATCCAATTTGTATATGTATTACAATGAAAATATTATACAGCAAGCACACAAAATGTTAGTCACATCTAAAATGATTTTAAAGGTAAACATTACACTTCCTCAAATTATGTGCTCACTGAAAACGCGCTATACTTAAGCAATTTCAGTGGGGCATGGCGGTTATTCGCATACTCTGTGAAGCAATAGGATAGGATACCATTGGTGCAGTGCACTGGCTCATTGTAATGCCAGGTAAGGGCTGTGCCATGGAAACTGCCACAGGTGCTACAGACACTGCAACTGGTGCCATGGAAACAGGTGGAGGTGCCATTCCTTGAGCAATTGTTTGTGCCAGCGCAGCAGAAAGTGGTGTAATTTCAGGATTTAACTGAGGGGCTGCATTGGTCTGTGTAGGAGCAGGGGCACCAGTGGAAGCCACCAACTCCTGCTGAGTAACTGCTCGAGGCTGCAGTGCCTGACTGCTTAATGTCGTGTGGGTTTGTGCAATGCCATGGTTGTAGTTAGTCACATTCCCTTGGGTTGGTGTAATGCCGTGGTTGTAGTTAGTCACAGTCCCTACAGCTTGCTCACTAGTTGGAGCAGTGGTACTCAGTGTGCTAAGTGTAACAACTTTGGCTTGGCTACGAAACTGAGCATTCTGGTCAAGTAACACTTCATTAGTTGCTGCTAAGACAGACACTTGCTTTTTCAGCTCCTCAACACGTCTACGAAGCATGACATTCTCTTCCTCTAACATGCGGTACTCAACTGGGGATACATTATAGTATCCATCATAGCCTACACGCCTCCTCTTCATCACAGGATCATCAAATCGATCCCTATAACGATAATAGGAGGAAGCATAGTATTCAGGTTCAGAAAGGCCATCATAGGAGCCATAATGCTCATAAGCACGGTTTGTGGTTGTAGAAAAGTTTCCAGTAGCTGCACTTGTAGCCATAGCTCCACTTTGCCTGTCACTTGAAAATTCAAACTGATAATCATAATCTCTCCGCATGTTGCGGAAATGCCGAAACTTGCACTTCTCACCGCGCTGGCAATCGCCCTTTAGGAAATCTCTGCAGATAGGAATCTCATCTTTATTAGCTATGTCTGTAGGAGACAAGCCAAGTCCAGCTGCAACCTTATTACGCAAGCGAGAAGGTAGCTCTCCTGTTTTCTTGTAATGCTCTTCGTCATCCTTGGTACCATGAATGAATCTGCAGTTAATACGCACACATTCCTTATTCTGGAAATCATGGCAAAAAATAAATTCATTCTTTTGCACTCCAAGGTCAGACACATCACTGGAATCTGGATGCTTGAAACGGCAGCGCTTGCCCCGCTTGCACACATTACGCAAGAAGTCACGGCACACATAATCGACTGTTGAAGCCGCTTCCTCACTGCCACTACCGCTGCTGCCGCCGCCATTTGCATAGTTATCTCTGTTCGGCATGATTTTTTTTTTTACTGCGCTTGCTTACGCTGCGCCTTAGTATCTGCGACGCACCAGGCAAAGTAGTGCTTTGAATAAGAGCTGGAAGAGAGAACATTATATTCAGCACAAAATATAGGCTTTAACAGTAATACTTATATAAATTAAAAGCTCCTAAAAACACTAGAGGTTAAAATAATAATACACATTCATGGATGCCTCAAAGTTAAAAGGCCCTAGTCGACACTGTAGAAAACAAATACATCCACATCCTACTAAATGTATTTGTAACCTAATATCTTCTAAGGTCGACTTATGGCGTACAAACAAAATTTACCGTGAAAGCAGAGGCTTCTCAGGGACTATGCTGCTCTAAATTACATGTTTCCCTTAAGAGCAAATATAAGACTGGGTTTTTCACAAAATGCTGAGATTTCACATTCTGAGTTTAATAGATAAATATGTTTTCACTGAAAAAAATCATCCTCCTTTAAAAAAGGTACAGACCCCAGACACAGATACCACATTTAAAGTGCTACTAAAGACTTTTTTTTTTTTTTAAAATAACACACGTCATGCTTACCTGCTCGGTTTTGCACAGAGCAGCCCGGATCCTCCTCTGCTCAGGTCTCCCACTGGCGCACCTAGACCCTTCCTCCTGTCAGATGCCCCCACAGCAAGCAGTTTGCCATGGGGGCACTTGAGCAGGCTTGCTACCAAGCCATGGCTCTGCTTATCCACTCACACACAGCCGCGGCTCAACCCCAACCCCTTCTGATTGGCTCAATGGCTGCGATTGACAGCAGCGGGTGCCAATGGCTCATGCTGCTGCATCAGCCAATCAGGAGCGAGAATCCCCAGAGAACCAAGGCTCTTGTGGACATTGTTGGATTGGGAGGGGCCTCAGGTAAGTGTTGGTGGGCTGCTAGACATAGAAGGTTTTTTACCTTCATGCATAAAGCCTTTAGAACCACTTTAAAAAAAAAACAAAAAAACAGCACTTAAAGAATGCCTTATGGTTAAAACTTTCTGCCATTACAAGCACTCTAAAGAAGAACTCTGGAATAGTGTTAACATCTGTAGCTATATGTGGAAACTCCAGAAAAACCGCTAATGTGATTTTTCTTAAAAGGAAGCATTTTGTATAAAACTCACTGTTAAAAAAAAAAAAAAAAGTTATTTCTTGCCCTGCTTCTTTTTCAACCTTTGGGCTCTAGTAGGAGGGAACTCAGAAGCGGTGATTTCCTGTTGGTGTTTGTCGCTGCTCATTGAGACTACAAATCCCATTGTGTGTGGCAGATCATTGTTCTACTCATAGGACACCACTGCACACTCTTCTCCTACTTTCCCATTTTGAGGACGTGATACTATACATTATCCGCACAGTATTGGGCATGGATGTCATGAGATTTGCATAACCTGCAGGCACAAATGGAGACTCCAATTCTGTCAGTGAGGTCAGAGAAGGAAGTCTCCCGGCCCAACACTAACTATGCTACACAGTGAGCGGATGAGACTAAGCAGTCAGACTCCCGTGTCCGCCCGCTGCAGAGAGGGGGGGGGGGGGGGGAATGTATAAGACCGGTGACCTGGGGAGAGGGCATATCAGCCACTGTTCTTATGAACAGGAAATGGGAGGGGTAGAGGGCCTTTCATGCAGTAAAGAGTGCTGGATTTCTCACTGGAAAGAGGACTAGAACAAGAACATCAAGAATTTATTGAGAGGTATGGAAGCACCTGTATTTGTATATAAAAATATTTTCCCCGGAGTTCTGCTTTGAAGTCCACACATGCTGATAAAAAGGTTGTTGGTCATTTGTAAATATTTTCAGGACACTAATTTCACCCACAGTCATGAGAGTGTAAGTCCAGCCCCAAAACCCCTCAGCATCTGCATTATATACTCTATATGGATATCCTGTCTTACATGTTAAAGCTGCAGTATCCTCTGTTCAATACTCTTATATCCCGGAAATCAGTTATGGCACTCACCCAGCTGACTTTGGAGAAAAAAAAAATGCTCTGCTTCACACATTAAAGGGTTAGTTCACCTTTTCAGAAAAGATAAAAAAAGTGAACACCCTGCACTCTCCCCAGTCCCCGCTGTACCTACCTCCGTGAATCATGAACAGTTAGTACCCATGCAGCTGGTGCAGCAGTCTGGGTATTTGAAGTCCCTGCTCCTCTCCCTCTTCATTATGCAGGGATTCCAGGATGGATCAGAGCTCTGTGCTGGCACTGACCAATCAGAACAGCTCTGATCCATCCCGGAAACTCTGCAGAAAGAAGAGGTAGAAAAACAGTTGATTCCTGGACCACTGCACCGGCTGCGTGGGCACTGAAATCTCATCACTCATGAAGGCAAGCACAGCGGGTACTGGGAAGGGTACATGGTGTTAGTTTACTTTTCCTAAAAAGGTGAAATTACACACTTTAAGGCTAGCTTCACACAGCTGGTAAAAGCAGGTTCATCAGTGTTTTTACCACCAAAATTCCTTCAGCTGGGGAAAAACAGGCATTTAAGATGAGTCACCTCCTAAAAACCTGCAAACTGCTACTGAAAATTGACGCATCACGGATCACTTTTAAAAAGGGCAGTAGGGACTGCTTCAAATGTGAAAGAGGCCTAAACGCTTTTACAACCCATTAGTTTATAGTTAACTGTAACTGGTAGCCCTAGAATTATTCCTCTCACTCTGCTGGGCACGGCAAATGCTTTGCTGACATTTTCATAACAACTCCCTTCTTGAGTACCAGCCTAGTAACTTTTTCCATTTGGGTCCTCTAAATAAAACATTTACTCCTGGTCTCGATGATTGAAGTTAGGCTCCTCCCAAAATATTAAATTCTTTTGATAAAGAAGTGTTTGATACTATTGAGATTTCCTCTCTTCACGCCCTGAGCAGATGTAGGTGGACATACAACTGTTCCAAAAGGATTAGATAGGTCCATTTTTTCTGCATCACAACATGGAGAAAAAAAACAGAATGACCATGAAAGTCATACATGACTTCCATCTCAGTTCTTACTTAGCAGGGGATAGATACACCTACTGAGATGGAATGAAGGCTCCCTTGTGAAAGGAGTCAAAGTGGACAGGTCTGCCATAGATTTGACTTTATGCATAGATCAAAGCAGACTGTGTGAAAATGTTATGTCCGGTTATCCTGTAACCCCCCCCCCCCCCCCCCCCCCCGGGTAAAAAGTTACAAAAACCTCACAAGAACTAAATGTTACTCACCTTATACCCCAGCTCTGGTCTCTTGCCTTGGGACAAAGGTGACAACACTGAAGGATTCTGGGAAAGCCGAGGATCCAAAATCTCGTGAGAGGAGGCTCCAATGCTGGACAAGAGCACATTCTCCCAACAGTTAGGATCCTTTAAGAAGTCCCAGTGAAATCACCCTGAGTTAGACAGTGGCACCAAATGTCAAATGTGTAAAGTTTTACTTTTTCCCCACTACTGATTTTTCATCATGGAATGGAGAGGTTGCAGGGTTAATATTTACCGCTTCCCAACCGCCCTATAGCAGATATACTGCCACAGGGCGGCACGGGTGCGCAAAATCACATATATATACGTGATTATGCATTTCCTGGGTAGAGGGCGTGCGCAAGGCGTATGGAAGCGAGTGTTGCCTGGCTGTGCAGGACTATAAGGGGACCCAAATCTAGCAACTTCTAAAGTGGTAGTGCTTCATGAATAAACCCCAATACCTCATTCACACACAGAGCTTTAGCAGGAATGTTGTTGTGTTTGTGCCCAGTAATGATTTAAATCATTACTGAATTACATTTCTTTTTTGGAGGGGTGCTTGTCAGTTAGGCTAAGAGCAGCCCTGAGAGACTTGCATAGTTTGACTTTATATATACGCAATAGAGTAAAAAAAGTTGTACACAGTGTGTTGCGTTATAATAGCACATCTCGCCACCCAGCGAAATAGATACCAGCCTACATGCTAAAAAGGAATATTTTAGCATGAGGCTAACGCGAATAGACCTTACTCGCTTCCTGACCTCCCTATAGCAGATATACTGCTACAGGGCAGCATGGGTAAGCAAAATCAAGTATATATGTGATTTTGCATTTCCGGGTAGGAGGGGCACAGCACAGCCATCCAAAGCAGTGTGCTTAGAGTGAAGCACACAGACACAGAACAGAGTGAAACAGCACACAGTTAACCCTTTGATCACCCCACATGTTAACCACTTCCTGCTCAGTGCCATTAGTATAGTGTCAGTGCTTTTTTTTGTAGCACTTATCACTGTATTGGTGTCACTGGGGATGTTCCCCCCAGTGTCAGAATGCCTGCCACAGTCCTGCTATAATTCGCTGATTGCCGCCATTACTAATAAAAAAAAAAAAAAAAATCCATTATATATATATCTCGCAATTTGTAAACGTTATAACTTTCACATAAAACAATTAATTTACACGTATTGGGATTTTTTTTTTTTAGCAGACATGTAGCAGAATACATGTTGGTCTAAATTTATGACAAAATGTTTTTTGTTTTTTTTTAATTTTTACTGGGCAGTTTAATAACAAAAAGTCAAAAATATTTTTTTCTCAAAATTGTTGCTCTTATTTCTTTTATATAGCGCAAAAAAATAAACACACAGGCGATCAAATACCACCGAAAGAAAGTTCAATTCGTAGGGGAAAAAAAAAAGACGTAAATTTCATTTGGATGCAGCGTTGCATGACCACGCAATTGTCAGTTAAAGTAACAGCGCCGTAACGCATAAAATGGCCTAGTCAGGAAGGGGGGTAAATCCTCAGGAGTGCAAGTGGTTAAACAAAGGGGCTGCAGGGTCTGGCTGATGTAACAGTTTCACTTGTATGTCCTTTTTTCAGGTTTAAACAATTTTTCTTATTTTATTTTGTATATGAAAAATGGTTTAAAAAAATCCTAGACATTGTGACAATTCCCCATACATAAACATTAATGGAAAAGTTCTTAAGGCAGAATCCCCGCCCCCCCCAAACTACACACACATTTGATACTATTACTGAAATC